AGTTGACTCAATTTGCACTATTTCTGGCAGTCTGCAAAGGCCCTTGGTCTAACACTCAAACCTCTACACCAGGGGTAGGCAACCTAAGGCCCGGGGGCCGGATGCGGCCCCCCAAGGCCATGCCCCCAGCCCGCCATGATGATATTGATTATTGTTGTTATTACTTATTCTTGAGGTTTTCTTGGCAAAATATCCACAGGGGTTTTGCCACGGCTTTTCTGCGGCTGAGAGAGTGTGCATGCATATTTTTTAAATTTTTTAATTTTTTAAAAAAATATATTTTATTTATTTATTTATTTATTTATTTATTTATTTATTTATTTATTTATTTATTTTTGGTGCTTCAGCCCTCCAATTGTCTGAGGGACAGCAACCCGGCCCCCAGATCAAAAAGGTTGCCTACCCCTGCTCTACACCATGCTGGCTTTCCTCAACACATCTATATACACAGATGATTTTAAAATCTCTTTTCTTATTAGAGCAATGCAATGCATGGAGGTCCTATGCCAAAACAATCAGAACAAATGCAGCACACACAATTCTCATGCACGCACATTGGGTGATTTCTGAACTGAGGTTCTATCCATACAGTTCTCAACAGTAGGGACTCAATGTCCTTTTGTACCTCCATATTCTCCAAGATCATCAATAGAGCTCTTTCTCAAGTGTTTCTGAGCTTAAAAGGGTGGCAATCAGTGATAAAGATATTTTGGTGGTAGCAGCAAGCAGACTGTAGAAGACTCAGGTGATTCCTACTTGGCTATGTTGAAAGTACCAGGTAAAACCAAGTCAGGCTCCTAAATTATGTAGCAGGGGTCGACAACCTACAGCCCGCGGACCGGGTGCAGCCTGCGGAGGCCTTCAGACCGGCCCCTGCCCGGTCCTGCCGTTGCCGTGCCGCTGCCGCCGCCACCTTTCGCAGCCGCGGGGGTCCTCCGGGGCGCCATTTTGGAATCAGAAATGGCACCCCGGAAGACCCCCGTGGAGGCGCTGGGCCTCTCGGAGGCCCGGCGCGGTCGAGGGAACCCTCTTGGGGGGGGCGCTGTTGTGCGCATGCGTGCGTGACGCGGGGGCGGTGCCATTTTGTTTTTCAAAATGGCATGGGGCGCGGGGAGTAAGCGCGCGCACGTGCAAGCACACACACCAGCCCCCAGCGCCATTCCCCCCCAGCCCAACCCCTGTATATTTGCTATATAGCAAATCTAGCCACAGTGGTTATTTGGCTTTGACCAGCAATATTGGTCCAAAACACACTGCAGAAATAATCTAGTTTGAAACAGCTTTAAATTGCCCTGACTCAGTGCTAGGGAATCCTAGGAACTGTACTTTATTGTGGCACCAGAGCTCTCTGACAGAGAAGGCTAAATGTCTCACAAAACCACCGTTCCCAGAATTCCCTAGCATTGAGCCAGGGTAGTTAAAGTAGTCTCAAACTGGATTATTTCTGCAGTGTGTTTTGGGCCATTGTTTCTGATGCTTAAGTTTCAGATTAAGTTACCGTGCTGCTGCTAATGGATTTGAAACTTTGCCTGGGTTTTACCCTCTGTCCCCAGTCACCACATGGCCAAGAGTGGCCTGTACTTGCACTGATATCCATCCAGACCATTTCAACAGACAATTGAGGTAACACCTAAGACAATATACAGGCTTGTGATTCTAACATCCTCACTTTTCTTCTCCTGTATGATTTTTTAAAAACAACTTTGCCTGATGAAGAAGCCAGTGAAGCTTTGGAAGCTTGCATGAAACATTTTGTGCATTTTAGTTGACCCCATAAAGGTACAACTGTTCTGTGGATTTGATGGGGGTGTGTGTCTAATTTTTATTGTTGTCTTATCATTATACCTATCATGTATTTCTAATTGGTTTGTTCTTCCACTGGTTGTGGTGTTTTTTTAATGCACTGTTTATGGCAGAGACAAATAAAAGTAAAGTGGACTGACTGTTCCCACCCTGAGCAACTGGGCAGGCAAGTGAGGCCTGTTATGCTACTTTTATCTAGGATTACAGCCTAATTATTTTCTCCTCTCATAGTTGTGTGTTTTTACCATTCACAAATACATCTGAGAATAATTTACGCAAAATGCAGTTTTTGGTTTCATCCACTTGTGGAATGGCACCACAGCTGCACTGCTCATAGCAATAATGCTGCACCAGGATGTTCCATAAATATTTGATAGTCCCTTGATGCATGCTTGCGTGAGCAACATTTTTTAGAGAAGAGAAAAGGTAAAGACTAATTCTCCAGAGTCTGGTCATGCATTCCAGCTGAAAAACTTTCAATACCTGGGTTTATTTCCATCTCAATTGCACTTTTCCTTACAGCAGCGTTTCATAATGACAGAATTCCCTAAAGAAGACTGCAAAAGGTAACAAACAGGACAAATTGCCTAATTAATATAAACTAATTGCAACAAAGCTTTATGAAACATAATGAAATACTCTTTCTATAGTTATATTGCATCAGACCATAAGACAGGGGTCCCTGGACTTTTTGATCCGGGGGCTGGTTCGCTGGCCCCCAGATCTTCTGGGGGGGCCAGATGCGAGCACGCATGCATGCGACTCCGGATGCCATTTTGTCTTCCAAAATGGGTGGCCCGCGAGCAGGTAGGAATGCCTCAGCGGGCCGAGTCCAGCCCGCGGGCCATAGTTTGGAGACCCCTGCCATGAGAGAACTGGAATTTTATTAAGAGTACACCTAAAACTAAAGTGTGAGTAGGACCGAGTGCCTGAACACATGATTCCCACAGAGTGCACTTATTATACTGCCAGTGTGATGTAGTGGTTTGAGTTTTGGACTAGGACTCTGGGTACCAGGGTTCAAATCCCTGCTCAGCCATGGAAACCCACTCTTCCAACCTCAGAGGAAGGCAAAGGTGAGAAAACCCCATAACAGTTTCACTTCAGAGTCACCCTAAGTTGGAAATGACTTGAAGGCACAACAACAACAACAACACAACAATTATGTATGCAAAACGGAAACATTTTATCTTGTTAAAGAGAACAAAATAAGATAAAGTGTGAAAGTAGTTACAGCAGGTATGTGCTAAATGCTTTTTTCTAATTTGCACTGGAAGAACTGATAGGTTCACCTTAGGGCCATGATTAATCAGAAATGACTTGAAGGCACACAATAACAACAAACACTTATTAAAGAGGGTATGGCTCCTTGATGAGTAGTAACAACAATTTCTGTACTGCTTAACTGTTACATATCAAAGAACACATTTTAAAGAAATCCCACTAAATTTCCTCTATCCTTTCCTTCCTCCATGGTGGCATCATCCTTGAATTTACTTTTCCTTTATATCAGTTACCAAATACGTATATAGCCTTTCCCTGTGCTTGTTGACATGGAAACCAATCCTCTTTGTTCAATGGGACTTACTTCCAAATAACTGTATTAACATATTCCTTAGGGTTTTTGAACTTGCATAGCCAGAGCCCACTTAACTGGATGGGTTCTAGTCCACAAAAGCTTGCCCCAGAACAAAATATTTGTTAGTCTTCACAATAATCACAAATTATTATTATTTATTTATATCCCACCCCTCTGCAGAGCAATCGGGGTGGCTTAACTTGCCGGCTTCCAGATGTTGAACTACAACTCCCATCATTCCCAACAAGCTTAACTAATGGTGGCAGATTATAAGAAATCCAGTTCAACATCTGGAAGGCTTCAGATCGTCTATATTCAACCTAAAGATAATAGCCCAACAATTCCCAGCAAGCTTCAACAGAAGTAAAAAATTAAATTTAAAACCAGGTATCTCCAAGGAACGGAGACTGCAGTCAAGAAATCGTAAGATTAGGAATGGAAAGGGCAGCTATGAAAGAACTAGATACGCTCTTAAAATGTAAAGATATACAGCGGAATACTAAAGTCAGAAATGTCCAAGCCCCTGTATTCACCATTGCCATGTACAGTTGTGAGAGCTGGACAGAGAAGAAAGCCGATAGGAAGAAAACTAACTCATGTGAGATGTGGTGCCAGAGAAGAATGCTGAGGATTCTGTGGACAGCCAAAAAGACAAACAACTGGGTACTAAAACAAAACAAGCCTAAACTCTCGCTGGAAGCCAAGATGACTGAATTGAGACTGTACTTCAACCACATTATGAGAAGGTATCACTCATCAGAAAATGCTACAAAAGTTAAAGAGTAGTAGAGAGAGGGGAGGACCACATGCCAGATGGATGGACACAATCAGGGAGGTCACAGGCCTGAGCCTGCAGGATTTGAGCAGAGATGTTGAGAATAGGAGGTCATGGAGATATCTCATTCATAGGGTCGCCATGAGTCAAAGTCAGGTAACAATTATCCAGCATAATTTCAGCATTCTATCCATTTTACCACACAAATTATGTACATTTACATTATACTACTCCTATTATACAACTTTTTATACCAGCATAGATCAATGGTCAAATCTGATGGTTATACACCTCTCACAGAGACAAGGTACACATGTGAATCCTACACCTGAAAAACAACTAGCAAAGTGACATCACCTTAACCGGGGGGGGGGAGGAGGGGGTTATGCAAGCTCATGACAACTTTATGGCATTCACCACCAAGTTCACAAATATACACAACATCCCCATATTTCATCCTGTCAAAGCTCTTGCCAATGTTCTCAACTATGTAATGGATGCCTGTCCTCCAGAAAAACACAAATCCAGATATTCTTTATAGCCTTGAATCCTGCATCCATAACCCAACCTACATTATATGTGCTATTTTTATTACCAAATAAAGAAATGGGGTGCCCTAGAAGGATACTTTAACTGCTTCCATTTCTTACCCCTACCTAACCTCACAGCTTGGTCCAACAGTACCAACAAGGATGACTATTTCCAGAAAAACTAAATGAACTCTGAAGAGACAAGGTTCAGGTACCTCCAAAGTCTTCCTGCTTAAATCAAATCATTTTATTACAGCCATTCGGCCAGTATAAAAACACAGTATAAAAACACATATAGAAAACACAATAAAACAAATTTAAAAAAAACACACAATAAAACATCTAAGGGATATACAGTAACTTCCTATCCGAACATACTGGAAACTATTAGCATGTTCCAATTTAAAAGGACAGAGATAAGACAATACCATTTCCTGAACATAGTAAGAATAAAGTTATATGATCTTATATGTATCTCAAAGCTGAAAGCATATAATACTGTCTCTAAAGCGTTTTTGTTCAAAGACAGCAACCATTTTCTTTAGCTAAGACAACAGGAAAGATGGTCAATATAGCTGGCTGCCACACATATTTCTGAATTTTGACAAAAACATTTTAAAATCCCATGAGATAACATGTATCTAACCTGTAATATGTACAATGTAGACTATGACTTCCTGCTTAACCTCATTTGAAATAAATGGTACCTACAAGCGCATGAGCATTCTTTTCCACAGTCCTCATGCAACTGAAAAGGACTTGAACAAAAGAACTAAAAAGAAATCCTACATGTGTACATATAGGGGAAGGTATCTGTTCTTTCAGTAATTCCACTGGAAGAAACGGAAAGGAAAATAAGTATACTACACTGCAACTGTAGGTTTGGAGACTTACTTGGGAATATGTTGGAGAGCAAGACACCTCTGGATCCAGTTGATTCAAAACCACCCTCTGACACAGCCTGGATCAAGCCCTCTAATGAACTTCACAGGGATTTCTTAGGCAAGAAATAGGTGGGTTTTGCTATTTCCTTCCTCTGAAATATAGCCTACAGCCCCTGGCAGAGGCTCCTATCCAAGTACTAACCAGGGCTGATCCTGCTTAGCTTCCAAACTCAGATGGATCTGATGCCTTTACAGTATTTAGGCCCTAGATCGAGCCCTTCTGCCAGCTACAACACAAATGGCAGGATTTCACATCCTCTGAAATTTTTCGTGGATACCCTAGGAGCCTCCAGGGAGATTGTGCTGCTGTAGCTGTGGTGTTCCTGTACCTGATCCTAACTCCCCTCAGCCAGGGGTCAGGGGAGTTCCCTTACTTATCAATTCTGATGCACCTTGCAGGGGGGAATGCTAACATGTACTTGCATAGTTGCTAGTAAATTCAACAAGGCCTCTACAAGAAGCCTAACCTATGTTGTCTTTTCAATTAAAGGACTTTGAATCTGAAGAATTGTTCTTTTGTACATTCCCACAGATTCTAATCATACTTACACAGGATAAGTTACTGGTAGATTGTTTCCAATTATTCTGTTTTTGAAACAAAATTTTTGTCCTTGGCATTAAAATAGAAGGACAGAGAAACAGACATCCTGGATTATAATCAATCATTCTTAGAAAACTTTCTTTTCCTTACAAGGCATCAGGAGGTCTGTGAAATTCATAGAAATGTGGGCACTCAGCATTACTTTTGGAAAAAGAAAAAATGTGCTAAGAGCTCACTGATTTTTCCACTACTGCTCTAATTTTAACTTAAACCAGGTTATTTAATTATGGCCAATGTGCTGGAAGATTACATTTCACACAGAAAAATTTTAATCCAAAATAACTTTTTTCTCTCTGAAACTCAAGAGATCCAATTAGAACAACTTTCCTTTCACAAGAGGAATATTTGGTTTTCCATCATTCATTTAAACATGTGTACTGTTTTCTTAGGAGGCTGGAGGATGGGAAACAGATGCCCTGAATAGGAGAATATTTTTCCCAAGGAATATCGATCAACTGGCTTTCCAGGGCTCACTCAAATCCCCTCAAGCACTCATTAAAACAAGTCAATGTTAGCTGTGGGCTTTTTTTTAAAGAGACCTTTTTTTTCTTGCACACAAATACAAGCACTCTTCTTTTTCCACTGCAATTAAAAGAGGCAGTTGTGGGATACATGTGAGGAAAGATTTCTTCACAGCCACAGAAAATCAGCTTCACTGTACTGCAGCCACTCACTGCGGGCTTGTACTCACCACAAATACAAAAAGATTGTGTGGATACGTGACAAAAACAAATAAACAGAATGCTGGAGAAACAGTTTATATCCTACTTTTAATTTTTGTTTGGAAAACAAGATATATTTGTTTCTATTCAACCAGGCCTCTAAAAGTAAACATAAACTTTTCTTGAAGTTTATGGTTTTTTCTTTTTGCCCCAAAGAAAGTTATGCTGGTGAATAAAAGGAAGCACTTCTTAAAATACAGACTCTCCTTACTCTGTGTCTGCATCCATACAAACAGATCACTGTCCTTATATGCAGTTCTTTGTGAAGACTCGATTTATACTTTTGGAGAAACAAAAGGGGACATTATTAAATACAAGGTATTTTTCAGTAAATAGGATTAAGTTCAAGCAGTACATTTTATTTGTCTCGTTAATCAGAAAGTATGCCCTAAAAATATATATACTTAGGAATGGGATCTAACTAAATAACTTTTTCCAACTGCAGTCCAAATGCTCTGAAAGACACAATCACAATACAACTGGATTCAGAGGGATCTGGTTCAACACACACACTGTGAATTGATCTGCAGTTACAATCCAAAACCTGTTTATTTGTTTAATTACAACTCCCAGTATCCCCCCCCCCAACAATGGTTACTAGCTTAAGTTTCAATGAGGCTGACTCCCAAGTTAAGTATGTCCAGGATTATCAATCAAGACAAGCCAGCAATTCCGAGAAAAGAGGCACATTTTAGCATTGCAACCCGGGGGAAGCTTATCTGGAATGGGATCTCCCTGCTATCCCTGGTAAACAGGCACTGAATTGTGTTACTGTTTGCAAGAAAATGTTAAGCAAGCCACCATAAAATCAGGACCACAGCAGAGAGCTACACAGTCTCCCAACAAGAACCCATGTTATGCTGCTAGAGCGCCCCTAACTGGGCAAAA